ATACATCGTTACAGAGACAGGCTAGTTCCATGACTACACTAGATTCATCGTTACAGAGACATGCTAGTTCCATGACAACACTAGATACATCGTTACAGAGACAGGCTAGTTCCATGACAACACTAGATACATCGTTACAGAGACAGGCTAGTTCCATGACAACACTAGATACATCGTTACAGAGACAGGCTAGTCCCAAGACTACACTAGATACATCGTTACAGAGACAGGCTAGTCCCAAGACTACACTAGATACATCGTTACAGAGAGAGGCTAGTTCTATGACAACACTAGATACATCGTTACAGAGAGAGGCTAGTTCCATGACAACACTAGATACATCGTTACAGAGACATGCTAGTTCCATGACAACACTAAATACATCGTTACAGAGACAGGCTAGTTCCATGACAACACTAGATACATCGTTACAGAGACTGGCTAGTTCTATGACAACACTAGATACATCGTTACAGAGACTGGCTAGTTCCATGACAACACTAGATACATCGTTACAGAGACAGGCTAGTTCCATGACAACACTAGATACATCGTTACAGAGAGAGGCTAGTTCTATGACAACACTAGATACATCGTTACAGAGAGAGGCTAGTTCCATGACAACACTAGATACATCGTTACAGAGACTGGCTAGTTCCATGGCAACACTAGATACATCGTTACAGAGAGAGGCTTGTTCTATGACAACACTAGATACATCGTTACAGAGACATGCTAGTTCCATGACAACACTAGATACATCGTTACAGAGACATGCTAGTTCCATGACAACACTAGATACATCGTTACAGAGACTGGCTTGTTCCATGACAACACTAGATACATCGTTACAGAGACAGGCTAGTTCCATGACAACACTAGATACATCGTTACAGAGACTGGCTTGTTCTATGACAACACTAGATACATCGTTACAGAGACTGGCTAGTTCCATGACAACACTAGATACATCGTTACAGAGACTGGCTTGTTCCATGACAACACTAGATACATCGTTACAGAGACAGGCTAGTTCCATGACAACACTAGATACATCGTTACAGAGACTGGCTTGTTCTATGACAACACTAGATACATCGTTACAGAGACTGGCTAGTTCCATGCCAACACTAGATACATCGTTACAGAGACTGGCTAGTTCCATGACAACACTAGATACATCGTTACAGAGACTGGCTTGTTCCATGACAACACTAGATACATCGTTACAGAGACAGGCTAGTTCCATGACAACACTAGATACATCGTTACAGAGACTGGCTTGTTCTATGACAACACTAGATACATCGTTACAGAGACTGGCTAGTTCCATGCCAACACTAGATACATCGTTACAGAGACTGGCTAGTTCCATGACAACACTAGATACATCGTTACAGAGACTGGCTTGTTCCATGACAACACTAGATACATCGTTACAGAGACTGGCTTGTTCCATGGCAACACTAGATACATCGTTACAGAGACAGGCTAGTTCCATGACAACACTAGATTCATCGTTACAGAGACTGGCTTGTTCCATGACAACACTAGATACATCGTTACAAAGACTGGCTTGTTCTATGACAACACTAGATACATCGTTACAAAGACTGGCTTGTTCCATGGCAACACTAGATACATCGTTACAGAGACTGGCTTGTTCCATGGCAACACTAGATACATCGTTACAGAGACAGGCTAGTTCCATGACAACACTAGATACATCGTTACAGAGACTGGCTTGTTCCATGACAACACTAGATACATCGTTACAAAGACTGGCTTGTTCTATGACAACACTAGATACATCGTTACAGAGACTGGCTAGTTCCATGACAACACTAGATACATCGTTACAGAGACAGGCTAGTTCCATGACAACACTAGATACATCGTTACAGAGACAGGCTAGTTCCATGACAACACTAGATACATCGTTACAGAGACAGGCTAGTTCCATGACAACACTAGATACATCGTTACAGAGACAGGCTAGTTCCATGACAACACTAGATACATCGTTACAGAGACATGCTAGTTCCATGACAACACTAGATTCATCGTTACAGAGACAGGCTAGTTCCATGCCAACACTAGATACATCGTTACAAAGACTGGCTAGTTCCATGACAACACTAGATACATCGTTACAAAGACTGGCTAGTTCCATGACAACACTAGATACATCGTTACAGAGACAGGCTAGTTCCATGACAACACTAGATACATCGTTACAGAGACATGCTAGTTCCATGACAACACTAGATTCATCGTTACAGAGACAGGCTAGTTCCATGACAACACTAGATACATCGTTACAGAGAGAGGCTAGTTCCATGACAACACTAGATTCATCGTTACAGAGACAGGCTAGTTCCATGGCAACACTAGATACATCGTTACAGAGACAGGCTAGTTCCATGACAACACTAGATACATCGTTACAAAGACTGGCTTGTTCTATGACAACACTAGATACATCGTTACAAAGACTGGCTAGTTCCATGACAACACTAGATACATCGTTACAGAGACAGGCTAGTTCCATGACAACACTAGATTCATCGTTACAGAGACTGGCTTGTTCCATGACAACACTAGATACATCGTTACAGAGACAGGCTAGTTCCATGACAACACTAGATACATCGTTACAGAGACAGGCTAGTTCCATGACAACACTAGATACATCGTTACAGAGACATGCTAGTTCCATGGCAACACTAGATACATCGTTACAGAGACTGGCTAGTTCCATGACAACACTAGATACATCGTTACAGAGACTGGCTAGTTCCATGACAACACTAGATACATCGTTACAGAGACAGGCTAGTTCCATGACAACACTAGATACATCGTTACAGAGACAGGCTAGTTCCATGGCAACACTAGATACATCGTTACAGAGACAGGCTAGTTCCATGGCAACACTAGATACATCGTTACAGAGACAGGCTAGTTCCATGACAACACTAGATACATCGTTACAGAGACAGGCTAGTTCCATGAAAACACTAGATACATCGTTACAGAGACAGGCTAGTTCCATGACAACACTAGATACATCGTTACAGAGACTGGCTAGTTCCATGGCAACACTAGATACATCGTTACAGAGACTGGCTAGTTCCATGACAACACTAGATACATCGTTACAGAGACATGCTAGTTCCATGGCAACACTAGATACATCGTTACAGAGACAGGCTAGTTCCATGACAACACTAGATACATCGTTACAGAGACAGGCTAGTTCCATGACAACACTAGATACATCGTTACAGAGACAGGCTAGTTCCATGACTACACTAGATTCATCGTTACAGAGACTGGCTAGTTCCATGACAACACTAGATACATCGTTACAGAGACAGGCTAGTTCCATGACAACACTAGATTCATCGTTACAGAGACATGCTAGTGCCATGACAACACTAGATACATCGTTACAGAGACAGGCTAGTTCCATGGCAACACTAGATACATCGTTACAGAGACATGCTAGTGCCATGACAACACTAGATACATCGTTACAGAGACATGCTAGTGCCATGACAACACTAGATACATCGTTACAGAGACAGGCTAGTTCCATGGCAACACTAGATACATCGTTACAGAGACAGGCTAGTTCCATGCCAACACTAGATACATCGTTACAGAGACAGGCTAGTTCCATGAAAACACTAGATACATCGTTACAGAGACTGGCTAGTTCCATGACAACACTAGATACATCGTTACAGAGAGAGGCTAGTTCTATGACAACACTAGATTCATCGTTACAGAGACAGGCTAGTTCCATGGCAACACTAGATACATCGTTTCAGAGACTGGCTTGTTCCATGACAACACTAGATACATCGTTACAGAGACAGGCTTGTTCCATGACAACACTAGATACATCGTTACAGAGACTGGCTTGTTCCATGACAACACTAGATACATCGTTACAGAGACTGGCTTGTTCCATGACAACACTAGATACATCGTTACAGAGACTGGCTAGTTCCATGGCAACACTAGATACATCGTTACAGAGACTGGCTAGTTCCATGACAACACTAGATACATCGTTACAGAGACAGGCTAGTTCCATGACAACACTAGATTCATCGTTACAGAGACTGGCTAGTTCCATGACAACACTAGATACATCGTTACAGAGACTGGCTTGTTCCATGACAACACTAGATACATCGTTACAGAGACAGGCTAGTTCCATGACAACACTAGATACATCGTTACAGAGACAGGCTAGTTCCATGACAACACTAGATACATCGTTACAGAGACAGGCTAGTTCCATGACAACACTAGATTCATCGTTACAGAGACAGGCTAGTTCCATGACAACACTAGATACATCGTTACAGAGACAGGCTAGTGCCATGACAACACTAGATTCATCGTTACAGAGAGAGGCTTGTTCCATGACAACACTAGATACATCGTTACAGAGACAGGCTAGTTCCATGACAACACTAGATTCATCGTTACAGAGACTGGCTAGTTCCATGACAACACTAGATACATCGTTACAGAGACTGGCTTGTTCCATGACAACACTAGATACATCGTTACAGAGACTGGCTTGTTCCATGACAACACTAGATACATCGTTACAGAGACATGCTAGTTCCATGACTACACTAGATACATCGTTTCAGAGACTGGCTTGTTCCATGACAACACTAGATACATAGTTATGTCGGGCAACATACAGGCTGAACCTGTATTCATAATTAAACAAATGTTTTAATAATTGAAATATTCATGTCGGTCTGTATCCCAGAGCTACCTAATGCATATCAATGGTCTACGCAAACAACCCGAGGCGGGATGGAACGAGGCAGCTAATCAGGATGACGTGGCCCGGATTCCGATACCTCCCAGCGACTCCGCGTTCTGGTAGCAATTAACACCGCCCTATTGCGTGTGTCGTCACGAGATTTCGGTGAATTATTCTAATAAAGTATTTATTTCCATTCCAGACCTGGCCTAGGAGAGTACCGTGCCGGCTGTTACCTGTGTGCTGACCTGGATTACACATCGTGAAACAATGGCGAATGTTACAGGTAGGATGCGAGCTGTCACCACACCTGCAGCGCTGTTGAGACACTCACATTATTTATCACGCAGTAACCTTTTGTTTAGCTTTTGACATACTGTACGTATATCGTCTCCGCCAGAGAAGTTGTCGCGTTTAATTGCTGGAATCTTCCAAACTTTTATACATTTGTCATGAAGTGGGAGAGCGCGTGCTGATGTTGCCATGCAATCATGTCACTGTGGACACCGTGTACATCAGGCTGTGGGACGCATCACGCCTCAACTATTTATCGTCTGTTGCTACCTGATTTCCTGACATTTTTACAGCTGTTGGAAACCAAACATACTCTGCAATCTTGTGGTTGAAAAAAACAAACTATTGTAATGTATGCTATGACAAACCATATGACATTAACTAAAAGACTCAATTAAAGGTCCCTTGCCGGATAATGTTTACACGTGCATGGTGCGTAGCTATGTGAGTAATATTTAACATGTACGTAGGTCGAACAGGAGTTTGGCTTACAAAACTGTCTGATGTGTGTAGAAAAAAGACTTCTAATATATTCGTTATCATAATTAACAATAGTACCGTGTCCGGGTGTCATGGGTTTTGTAGATAGTATGATGGATGTATGACAGTATAGTGTTGTCTGTACTTTCTACTCCTTGTTGTAGAGATACGGAGGTAGTGCATGTATCACATGTATTGTCATGTATTGTGAGGAGTGTGCACCATTGTTGTCTGCTTGTCTCATCTACCCCGTGAACATCCGGGTAAGAAATAGTCTTCACTAACTAATGCTTTTCGGGATCGGGTGGTCAGGCTAGCTTACTAGGTTAATGCATATCACCGAATCAAATTGCATAGATCGATGCTTATGATGTCAATCACTGGGTTGGCCGGTCCTTACTCGATTATTTACAGACTGCCATACAAAAACTGGAATATTGCTGAATGCGGCGTCAAAAACAAACAAACAGAACTTGCCCCCACTAAACCAGTTCTCCGGGGTCATGTCCGCACTGTCAGATGTCGTATTGATATCAGCGACAACGCAACAGCATTTCACAAAAGGTTTAATTTCGACAGAAATTCTGCCGGCATTCATTGCGTGAACACATCGTAGCGACTATCATGAGAATAGGATCAGAAGGATGGTTAGTTCCCAGGTCCCAATTCTGTGATAGCTGTGTTAGAACAGTCACCAAGTCCCAAGTCCGTGATAGCTGTGTTAGAACAGTCACCAGGTCCCAAGTCCGTGATAGCTGTGTTAGAACAGTCACCAGGTCCCAAGTCCGTGATAGCTGTGTTAGAACAGTCACCAGGTCCCAAGTCCGTGATAGCTGTGTTAGAACAGTCACCAGGTCCCAAGTCCGTGATAGCTGTGTTAGAACAGTCACCAAGTCCGAAGTCCGTGATAGCTGTGTTAGAACAGTCACCAGGTCCCAAGTCCGTGATAGCTGTGTTAGAACAGTCACCAAGTCCGAAGTCCGTGATAGCTGTGTTAGAACAGTCACCAGGTCCCAAGTCCGTGATAGCTGTGTTAGAACAGTCACCAGGTCCCAATTCCGTGATAGCTGTGTTAGAACAGTCACCAGGTCCCAAGTCCGTGATAGCTGTGTTAGAACAGTCACCAGGTCCCAAGTCCGTGATAGCCGTGTTAGAACAGTCACCAGGTCCCAAGTCCGTGATAGCTGTGTTAGAACAGTCACCAAGTCCGAAGTCCGTGATAGCTGTGTTAGAACAGTCACCAGGTCCCAAGTCCGTGATAGCTGTGTTAGAACAGTCACCAGGTCCCAATTCCGTGATAGCTGTGTTTGAACAGTCACCAGGTCCCAAGTCCGTGATAGCTGTGTTAGAACAGTCACCAGGTCCCAAGTCCGTGATAGCTGTGTTAGAACAGTCACCAGGTCCCAATTCCGTAATAGCTATGTTAGAACAGTCACCGGGTATCGGACAACACCTGGCGAGCAGGAGCATGACGACAGTGAGGGAGACGGCATTACATCTCAGCACATACTTCCTGTATAATGAAAACTTAATTCGCAATAACACGCAGGCAATGAATCGGCATCAACTTGTCCCAGCAAATATCCAACGTGTTACATCTGTTCTCTATAGAAGAAACGACTGAGTCGAGTCACGTGACTTGGGTCATGTTAGAGCGGGCGGTGCTGAGGGTGCTGGTGTGTCGCAAGCACCGTCTGGGTACTACTCCCTTGGGAACTAATGTCATTGAAGCAGCAACACGCCACTCTAGCTGAACATGATCTCTTCTTGAAACAATGCATGAACGGGTACATCTTCAATGTAATTAAACATAATTAGAATTTCAAATATTGAAGCTCAATTCAGCGTAAGCCGATGACGCTCTGACGCATTAAATTATCACATTCCCAGCAACAGGAAAGTATCTATGGAATGGGAGGTGTGAAGTTAACTGTATTGTTTCCATGACAACACATTCAAAATAAAAGTCAGGGATTGGACATTCCACCTCGAGGCGGCTATAAAACGTGTATTGCGTGCTGCAACTACTAAATCGCTATCTTTGCCCGCGGGGTACGACTGAAGTGTTGTGGCCGTGTGACTGTCTCTAGTGTACACGTCTTGCAGTGGCCCCTCGCGGGAACCGCCAGCCTGTCAGCCCCAGGCAGGCTGTGATTGCTCTCAGTACTGCCCACGTAGAGCTATAACGACTCGTACACTTACACGGAAAGTGGATGCTCTGTCATGGTAGGCAATGTGATGTTTCTACTCAGATATTGAGAAGATATTGCGATGATCAATCAATCAAAATATATAAAAGCCCATTTCTGCTCTTACAAATCTGAGCATCCATACTTAGGCTAAGTTCACATGGATGGGGAATATTAATTTTCAGAGGTGAAGAAACATTTGTTAATATGGTACTTAAGACACGGAACAAACATCTGAAACCTATAAGCAGCTAGTAGCAGTTGTTACAACCTTCGGTGAAACATTTGCGATTGTTAACATTGAATACATAGTTTGAGGAACAGTTCTTTGTGAAAAGCGCGACCCAAATGACACCCCCAACACAGTAAGGGGTACACATACAATATCTAGGTTGACAACATTCGATGTTCTAAAGTGTATTTATCAACAATCTGTAATGTTCTGTTTTATTTCTTTACGTGATTGTAAGCTAGTCGATGTTGTTAAATTTACTATCGTTATTCCATTTGCAATAACCTGCCCTAGGGTTTTCGAGGTGATCATGATTCCGGCTTTGAACTTTCTGTCGGAACATTAAGGTACGGTGCTTGAAGCTGTACTACTGCAGATACGTTCGGACATCTCAGCGAAAACCAATTGTATGTTCCAGTAGATATATTCAGAGTTAATGTTAAGACCTAGCTCAGCACTGATGTCATCTGTCATCTCGTTGCTTGTACTCTGAGGCTGATCTTTCTTTAGACAAGAGGATCACGGACACCAGTGTCGAAGCTAATGAGTGAGTGAGTGAGTTTGGTTTTACGCCGCTTTTAGCAATATTCCAGCAATATCACGGCGGGGGACACCAGAAATGGGCTTCACACATTGTACCTGAAGCTAATGAAGCTGGGCCCACAGGTAGTGCAAGAATCCAAGAATTCCCCTCAATATGATTTTTTGATGTGACAACCCTCGTGCTCACGGGTTTCACGAAAGTGGTAAACGCACAAGAGCAATACTATTGCCCTTTTTCCGACATCAGTGTCAGTTTAAAATAAATTTCATGGAAGGGAAACTTAGATAAGTGAATTTTGTCCAAACGAAGACCGGGAATCGTTTGATAGGCATTGCTTAGAAGTTGACGAATGACAAAGTAGACATAATTTATGGATAACAACTTCTTTCATACTGTAAAGAATTGTGTGACAGCGGTATAAGGATCGATACCGAGACGTTGCTCTTACAGTATTAAAGAAGTTGTTATCAGTAAAGTGTGTCTACTTTAACTAAACACCGGTTGTGGTTTTGCTGCCCGGGAATCCATGGTAATTCCCCTTAATGTAATAAAGAATACGAGATTGGAAAGAAAGATGAGATTGGTGTATAAAACTTTAAATATGTTATTACTTGTAGCCTATCAGAGATGTGCGCTGTAAAAATAACTACAGTGCACATTAACACGCTCCATCTAAAGGGGTGACCCCAAGTCCGAGTTATATGGCACACACGATGTACAGACAACAACCTGACATAAAGCGATGAGGGCATGCGGCAGTTAAGCAATAAACCGAAGGCGTGCAGGGTAGAGCTTTGGTGGGGTGCTGGAACTAGTACGTAGTGTGTGTACAGGCTGCGATTGCTGGGACGTTTAATAGTCACGAACCCCAATACCCTGGCTTAATCCTACACGGCCCGAAGTAGGGATATTGCTCCTATCTGTTGCAGTGTTGTCCGACCAAACAATGGCAATAATATAATCATATTAAATAAACGCCCTAACCCATTCACGTAGCTCCGCACTTCTTCTTCCGAGACATTGAGCCACTCCCTGGTAGAGAAAGACACCTCGCGACATGACGAGCAGGATGCGCTTTCGGGAATGCCACGATGTAGTGCTGGATAAGGTTCAGCTGTATTTTCATATCTTTAAATGACCTGTCACTTGCCCGGGTGCAATACATCTCTAGATAGGTGTGAGAAGTTTATCTCAGCACTGAAGTGAGTCTGTCCCAGTGACTGTAGATACAGGGTCTCACTAGACACGTGTCAATATAACCCCAGCAAAGTACCAACATTCCATAAGAGCGGTTAGTTATAAGCAGATATTACTCAAATAATGTATGGTGTAAATCAATACAGACGAGTTCACAAGTATTCATAAAGTACGGGGGCCCAGTCGATAAAGGCACCGACATTTGCTGTGCCGAGTTGCGTCTCTTGGCACGCAAGAAATGGATAATCGTGGGTTCGAGTCCCGGTTCCGTCCGATTATGTTTCTATGTGTGTCCGCACCATACCCGTGCTTGTGGGTTTCACCAAAATTGTAAACGTCTAAGTGTCGAA